ATTCAAACATTATTCTAAAGAACCAAGTCTAAAACGAGGATCGAGAACAAATGCAATACCATAAATATGCGGAATATGTGAATAATATTTTAAAAACTTGTCCTTCATAAAACTAGCAAAATAACTCACATAATCAGCATTCTCAAAATTTGAAAAAGCACCGGCGAGATTAACAGCTTCACTAATAAATTGGTTTGAGGTAGGTTTATAAACATGACTAAAAGTTTCAGTTGCATTATTAAAATATATCAAAGCATTACAAAATTTTTCACAGGTGTCGATCTCAACCGAGTTTATAATATAGTTATCATATTGTTTCATAAAAGGAGGAAAATGTTGTTTATATCTAAGAAGAACTCCAATTAACCTATAAGTACTATTCCAACGAATAGACAAATCTTTAGGAAAAGCTACATATTTCTCACCTCTTTCTATCAAATAATCATGCCATTTTTTTCTAAGTTGTCCATTACCCCAAATACGTCTAATCCCCCCTTTGACTACCTCCAAAGATGCTCCCAACGCTTTTAGACCATCTTGCACACATAAATTTAGAACATGACATGCACATCGTTGATGAAAAAATCTACCCATCAAAGAAGTAGAACCACACAATTCACGCAATCTAGGAATAACAGCACTATTATTAGTAGCATTATCAAAATCAATATCAAACACCTTATCAATTAAATTATACTCAATTAAAATACGCTCAATCAAAATATAAATATGTTCAGCGGTGTGACGATCATTAAATTCACGGAAAGTAAGAACACGTTTATGCATATGCCAATCATTATCAATATAATGTATAATCAGACCCAAATAATGTAAATTATGATAAGTATCCTCCCATATGTCAGAACATACAGTAACACGCCCATCAAAGTTTGCAAAATAATTTTGTAACCTTACCTTTTCCACACCATAAAGCCTTGAAATTTCTTTGTTAACCGTTTTGCGACTATAACCTCTATATTGCGGATTTAAACAAGTTTGTGCATAATCACGAAAAGCAAGACTTTCAGAAAACAAATAAGGCAAATTTTCTTCAACAAGTAAGTTAGCCATACCAGTCAAATTTTGTGCATCATTGTATGAGAAATTACCAAAAGCTTGTTGGTTATTTGTAAACCTCGATATTTGAGTTTGCTTCCCCGTTCTGCCGCCTAATTTTACATACTCCACCGGGTGTTTGGACTTAAGATGTCTTGTGGTGGATCCGTATCCGCTGGAAATCCCTAAGCTATAGTTTTTCTTGCACCAATTACAAGTTGCGGTCCAATTCCCGGTGTTCGGGTCCTTCCACTTAGAAAAATTATTAGCCATTAGTTCAGATTTACTTTTTTTCGTACCGATTTGGGATGAGGCAGGCTCGTCGGCGTCGTGGCTGCCGCCACCCTCCTCCTCCTCCTCGTCGTGGCTCTCCAGAACTACTTCCTCCACATCATCCTCGAGCTCTTCTTCGTCAATGGTTCTCGGTTGGTCTTGAAAAAAGCGGCTATTATGTCGGTGCAATTCTTGTTCTAGTTGTTCGTCGGTCATTGCATCCCCATCCCTCCTTGCGTAACCCGTATCAAAATCATCTCGACTTTGAGATGAAGAGCCGATATGTGATTTATCTTTGCGGGATCTCTTCCTCGCAAGCTCTTTTGTTCGGTTGGGCTCGAGGTTACCCATATCAACCGAATATCTAGGACGATCCATCTAAAAAATGTAACAAATATTAAATTGCAACAAATATATTAATAAGAGTAATTAAAACTATTTTAAATAATACTTCAATCTAAAAAGTTTACTTTAATCAAATAAAATTCTAACTATTAATTCGAGTTATAGCAAAATACTTTAACTAGCAAAATTACTTCGAGTTTAATAAATAGTCAAATTAACTAGTGAATTAACTAGTTTTGTGTACTACCTATTCTTTTACTAACAATAAAATTAATATAGTTTAACTTTAACTATAATGAGAATTAACTAGTTTTTTAAACTAGAGTCAAAGGTAGCAATTAATAAAAAATTGTAATAAAGTAATTAACTACTTTAATGAAAAATTATACAATTCGTGTGAAAACTAATTAACTAATCAACTAGTTTTTTGTACTACCTATTTTTTTACTAACAATCAAATTATTATAGTTTAACTTTAACTATAATGAGAATTAACTAGTTTTTTTTTCAAGTAATGTTAATACAAAATTAAACAAGTGTAAATAATAGAATGATTTCGTACCTCTTTCGGACTTTCGGTCTTTCGGATGGGAGTAATAGAATAACTTCAAATTAATTAGATATAATTTCAACTATATTAATAGATATAATAAATGTATAAGTAATACTTCGTATATAATTAGATAAGAAATATAAGTATAATGTATGTATTTATAAATTATAAGTAGATAATTAATATAAAGTAGATATATAAATATAATATATTGGAGAATAAGAGAATTTGAGAAGATGAAGATAAGTAGAGAGTAGAGAGTTAAGAGTAGGATTTAGGAAGAGTTGGAGAAGAGATATGGAAAAATGTTTAAGATTAGGAGTATTTATATGGGTTTTTTACCCCCACCCCCAAACCGCCCGGACCCCCCTGCAGCCCACCCAACGGCTATATAGCTGTTTGGGTTGTCCCCAGCCCACGCCAACGGTTATTTTTTTGGCCCAAATATTTTTTTTTTAAAACTAGCCGTTGTGACCCGGACCCGGGCCCGACCCGGCTGGGCCGGGTCACATTTTGCAGGAATCGAGCCCGCCCCTGCTTCCCCCACTGGTTCAGGTCCACACCCGGTCCTGGACCACCAGACTGAGCCGGTCCCGGGCCCGCACAGTACCGGGCTGGGACATGGGCCGAGTGGCCTGAACCGAATCCATCCCTAACTGTAGTACACAAATCTGAAGAGAATGGGAAGATGATTGAAGAGCATCTTGCGATTGCATTTGTACTAATAGTACACCATCTTATGGTTTCAAGAGGAGAAGCCACAACTGCATCCATTGTTATTGAAAATTTGGAAGTCAAATGACATTTAGTAAAAAGTTTTAGTGACACTTCGAAAAGTGTCAACGAATGGTGGGAGTTGACACTAAAACTAGTGTCACCGTAAAAGTGTCAGTAAATTATGACACTCTGACATTATAAAATATAGTGATACATTTGTGTTGATATTCTTAATGACACCTAGACATCATATAAACTAATGATACATTAATATCGAAAAGTTTCTTGACACATTGGTATCATAAAAGTTAATGACTCGATGATATCATGTGTGTATATATTCATAATAATAAAATCATATTGATATTTATTGACAAGATTTTATTTTCTCATAATGATAAAATGATATCGATATTTATAAATAAACAAAACATTAAACAACCATTTTCATTTAATGACACAAATTGTCAGATTCATGTATATTAATATTACAACACAGATATTTTACCAAAGCGAAACAATTTACACATCAAACCGGGACAACAACTAAGAAACTAACACTTCTACATACTGAAACAAATGTTAAGCTCAAAATAACTTTTTGGGTTAATGGGTCCAACGGAGATCGACCCATTACCCCTTGGCCTTTTTGGTAACATGGGCCAGTTGGAAGACGATCAGCTTCAGGGTCCTCCAAACCAACCCAGACCGGATAACATTCCAGGGGCTTCGGCCTTAAGGTTTAAAGAGAGCCATTTGACCAAACTTAAGATGCTCGTCCGCACCCAAACAAATACGAACAAAGACTCATCCTTGGCCCATCAAGGATCCCCCATCTTGGCCCATAAAGACGCTCGACCCTGGTTATGGCGGGAAACCAAGATATTGGCGGGAACCGCATTTAATGCAATAGATTTGGTGGTTGGAAGCTAGACATCCACAATCCTCCACGCCACCAACTTCACCTACCCCATTGTAATATAAATAGAAGCATTTTTTTCATTGTGAGGGGTTGACAACTTAGCACTCTAGCATATAACATTTGTAATCAGCTCTTAGCATACAACTGGACGAACGGCCTCAGGGCTTCATGAGCGAAGTGATTGTATCTGGCCTTTTATTTATCCTTAATATGAAACGGATACTTCCTACGAGTGAAATAGCTCTCCTCTTGCTTGTTTAATCATCTAACCCACCAAAACCTTCCACTCGAAATCCAAGGGTACGTGTTGGGCCTTTGGGTTGACGGAATAAACCTCAACATTGGCGCCGTCTATGGGAAACTCGATAAAAAAGTCTTCCTGAAACAAGCTCTAATAAAAAACTCCTAACGCACCTCAAGACAAGCAAGATGGCAAGAAACAACGCAGGGAACTCTTGTGACCTCTCCGAGCGGCTGTCACACAGTAGAAGAGCCCGCACCAGACTGCAGGTGCCCAGTCCAACAGCTTGTGGAGCCGGAGGGATTTTGGGGACCTCACCAACATGATCCCCCACGAGCTTAGAAGGGACCCTAACGCCATGAGGGAAATGGCGGACACTATACGACGCATGGCAGACGCGCATGAGGCGGAGCATTTGTACTCTGCAGAAACCGAATGTACATCATTCTCGCCAATCCGCTCCATGCAGACGCTCAACGAGGGTACGGGCGAGACCGCAGAGTCTCGATCATCGATCCACACACGGATCGTCAGGAATAGCCACTCCTCAGACATGGGGGGAAGTGGGGGGACAAGGCTCTTCAGAAGGGCACAACAACATGCGGTCCGGGACCGCACCCCGATGATGCCGCGAAATGATCAATTGGCCAAGGAGCCGACTCCCACGATCAATAACATGGCACCACGCTTCCGGGGCACGGAGGGGTAAGGTGCCCATTTCACCAATAGGTAGCACGACGCTGGCATCGTACACACGGCGAATGCCCTTGCTGTCACGCCCCGAACCTACCCGGACACGTTAACAACCCGCCGTACAGTACGAATAGTCAACCGCAGTCCGACTCATCCATATTATACAAGGCGTCTTGAATACCATTCACACATAATACATCCATAAACAAACATAATGTAAAACATTTATTAAAGCAGCGGAAACAGTTGATACAAGTGTTCAAGCCACACTTGGCATAATTAGGCATGCAAGCCCCCAAAGTAATTATTCAGAAAATATTATCCATGAGCATTGTTTTAAATTGTTTTCCCAAAACAGAAACGGAAGAAGCACGAACCACGTCTTCTCCCTTCGATCCTCCCGAAGCAACGGGCGGTGGCAGCAACCTTCAAGTTCTACCTGAAACTGTGAGGTGGCCTCCCCCGTGAAGGGGAGGTCAGTACTTGGAAACATTTGACAAGTACAATAGCAACTATACTAAGTATAATCAATGTTTAAATTTCTAAGACCCTCAATTCATGGTGATATTACATTATAGGCCATAACCCTCAGTTACCCCTTTTTGCTATTTAAATCATACTTACTTTATATGAAGTCAAGTAGTCGGCCCGTGGGCCCATATTCATTTAGAATTCATCATTTCCATTCCCCCGTGACCCAATTGTATAGCAAGGGCTTGGCCCAACTACATTTCTATACAATCCTCTAACTCAATATAACACATCAAAATTGTATGGCAAGGGCTCGGCCCAACTACGTTTCCATACCACCCATAACTTCGTGGCAAGGGCTTGGCCCAACTACGTTTCCACGGAGATTACATATACATGGCAAGGGTTCGGCCCAACTACGTTTCCATGCTAATCACATTACATGGCAAGGGCTCGGCCCAACTACATTTCCATGCAATCCTAGAGTCCAACTCTACTTTATTTTCATAGTCCAATTCTCAAGCAAATCCTATGCCTAGAATCAATTCACTTGGGTAGCCTTTAAGCCTACCCCTATCACACCTTAGTGTTCATACAATTCAACCTTAAAGTATCTCTTAAGACTACTTAAGGCATACCCATTTACAATCCTATCTCTTAGGATTAATTCCATCATTTATTTATATTAATCTCCCGACTAGTATCCCAACACTAGTCGGATAATCTTAGAACCACCAAGTTCTTAATTCATAGCCAATTAATTCATCTCAATTGATAAATATAGTTTAATCCAAATATCAAGAATATCACTTTTAACCATTCATGAATTTCATACATGAAGTAAAATTATATTTTTATCACAATATTATCATAGTTAATTTCATCATCATACCATCACTTTCATATCACATAATCCTACACAATTTATTCTAAATTTTTGTATCATGCTTCACTTTTTCACATGCAACAATATTTTCATTTAGGCATTATTATTCATTAATAATCCATGAAAATCACATTTAATAACTTAGGTAATCTTACGAAATTAACCCAACAATTATAAGCAATATAGTCAGCCATCCTCACCTCGTGATGTGCTACAATAGTTGCCTTTGTCAAGCCCCTCGATCAATCCCCGTTCTAGGCCGATTGGAAGTGAAAAACTGGATTTCTGGGCCAAAGCTGGGCGGCTTTCACGAAAGCCGGGCGGCTTTCGTAGTCTGCAACTACGAACAGCTCCTTTGGAGTGGTGGTTTCCGTCGATTTCGACTCCCCTTCTTCTAGTTTTTCCTCTTGGATTTCCCTTCCTTCTTGCTTTCTTTGAGCTTGGTCTTGGTGAGAAGCCTCCCTAGAGCTCCCTCTCTATGCTCTGGCCGAAATAATTCATAGGGTAGAGGAGAAGTACCTCCTTCCAACTACTCTTAAGATAGGGTCAAGAATGTGGTGTGGGTTTTTGTCTCTCGGAGACTTCCCACCTACTAGGTACACCCCCCAGCTGCCTTCCTTGTCATTTGCAGCACATAGGGTCGTGGGGTGGCCCCCACTTATGTGGGAGGTCATCCCATTATATCCCGGTGTATATAATTGGCCCCGAAAGTTGTATTTTTCGGACTATTTTAGTCATATTTTATTTTATCGGGTCGGATAAAATATATCACGCGTTCCCAACAATTTTGGGCCTTTAGAATAGATGTACATTCCCCAACATTAGTTTAGGAGTCTCCGAAACTCATTTCGGGCTGTTATCCGCTAAATCACCAATACCGGTAATTTGGGCCCCGTTTGACCAACCGGTCAACTCCATGCCTTTCTTATGGCCCAAATAAAATATCCACCTCCATATAGATGTCATCTAGACCAAGATGAATATAATATGTGGTTCGGGAAATATCGGGCGGCCCCCGATCCCAGCGTGGGCCCCACATGCAATTTACTATTCACGTAAAAGAAATAATAAAAATTTACAATTACGCAAATTCATAAATCATCCTTCAAGGTTTATTACATAATTTACTAATAGTAAATATGCTTGGGGACGGTGCTACACTTGCGCTGGTAAACCCCACACCCGCAGTCACCGACTCGCGAGATGTGATGCTCGTGGACCTCCAAAGGCAGATCAATGAATTGAGCCGCCGAGCGGAGAACAACCCGGCGCAGCCCAGAATTGCCCTCACTTCCCCATTTTCCGCCACGATCGTGGCTGCAGAGATTCCACGAGACTGCAGACCACCTGACGCGCTGACTTACAATGGGGCCACGGACCCGAAGGCCCATCTACTCCCTTTCCAGGGCGGGCTCTCCATGCTGGGAGCGTCCGACGAGGCTATATGCCGGCTGTTCTTCGGCACTCTCTGAGGGCTGGCTCAGGAGTGGTTCGGGCGGTTCAGACCCGGAACCATCGATAGCTTTGACCAGCTATCCACGCAGTTCATGGCGCAGTTCGCGTCCAGCTCCACACCGAACATTTTAGCTGGCTGATGAGCGTCCAATAGAATAAGGGTGAATCCCTCTTTGCTTTCCTCATAAGGTGGAGAGACGAGACTTTGAAGGTTAAGACCTCACAGAGTGCACTGGCATCACCCTCTTCACCAACGCACTGATAACCGGGGACCTCTACCGGGACCTCAAGAGGAATCCCGAGGATAATTATGCTGAGGTGCTGGCTAGGGCACAACGATCGAGGAGGAGATCACCCAGAGAGACGGGGTGCCCGCTCCCGCAGCATGGAAGATGGCAGACCGGCTAGGCCTAGGGCCAACGGAGCCCCCACATACAAGATTAAAAAGACGGGCGGAAGATACACTCCGGCAGCTCATCACGCACAAAACATCAATAGACGGTGGGATGAGTCCGAGTGCGCCCCCTTAACGCTCCCTGTATCACAGATTTTTGAACGGATAAAGGGAGAAGGGATCCTCACCGGGCCGGTGGACGAGGGTCAACTGATGGGCGAACGCCCGAACTCGTACTGCGAGTACCACCGCAAGACGGGCCACAATACGGACAATTGCAACAGCCTCAAGAGGGCCATTGAAGAGCTGATCTGAAGAGGATACCTCGGTGAGTATGTTGCGGGGGCAGAACCACCCCGCCAGAAGCAACACACTTGGCACCGAGATGATCGGCGGGAGGCCGAAGTCAAGGATGCGGATTATCGAAGTGCGGATAAGCGTCCCGAAACTTCCCTTGGACCAGGCGGGGCCAAGAAAAAGTTGGAGATCAAGGTGATCTTCGGAGGCGCGGAGACCAGGGATACGCCAGCAGAGCAAAAGAAGTTTGAAAGGGCTCTTTATGTAGGCTCCATATCCGCACCCCCTGCCAAAAAACATAAAGGCGGGCCCATCACTTTTGGACCTGTCTAGCTCCCCGGGGCCGCACAGCGACGAGCTGGTGATCAGCATGGACATCAAGGACGCCATTGTTCGGTGGGTCCTAGTTGATACAGGTAGCAGTGTGAACGTTCTATACTGGGACGTCTTCGAGAAAATGCATCTGAGCAAGGCCGAGCTTACTCCCCTGCGAACCCCTCTGGCTGAATGTAGTAGTTAGTTTCTCCTTCATGCAGAAACTGATTGAAGAAAAAACAATCTCATTAAAAGAATACTCTTTACATGAACACAACACCGCCACTAGTCCGCCGCTAATAGTCTAATCAAAACATGCATAAATCAACATCACTCCAAATGACTGACACTACTATTGAAGTAATAACTGAGATCTGTATTATTATCTAATAAAAAGATCTTTGTTAAATTCACTCATTCAAACCATCTGCTGCATATCAATTTATTATGGCAACCTCTAACTGCTTAAAGCCTAAAAATCAGTTATACTAGCTTTTTCTCAGCAACTTCCTTCACTTTGTCATCATATATATCCTCCACTTTTCATTTTCTAAGCAGATGTATATCTGTTCGATCTATATGTTCCATGTCAGTTCCAAGTTCTTTTGTGCTATCAAGTTACAAAAAGTACTTATTAATGGATAGTAGAGTGAACTTACAAAGCCACCATCTTTATAACATTATGAAGTGTAAAGACCATAGATGCGTTTGATTACAATCCCCGAACAGAATAAGACTTGCTAATGTGTATAACCTGAACGGGAAAAACCCTTTTTGAATCAAGTATGATCAACAGAGCTTCATCATTTGCATCTCAAACTTTCATAGCCATTATAGATAGTATATCTGGAATTTTCACAATGTATGAACTCCTAAAGATTGCACAAGAGATGTAAGGTTTCAAAGTTCTATAGATACCCATTGCAGGAGAAACACATTGAGCCACACCTATAAACACAAGCCTATCAAAAGGGAGCATAATAAAAGAACAAAAGAAGAGAACCGAAATACATGAATGGGTGTTTCAGTTAAAGATTAAATATTAACTTAAATTCAATTTCTAACTTTAATGATTTATAACAAAAACAAATTAACAATTTATTTTCATACAAACTATAACTTTTTGTCAAAAATAACAAAGATCGATATCATATTATTAGTATATGCAACCAACTAAGTTAAATGGATATAAAATACTTACATTTCGAAAACCCTAGGCTTGTGTTGAATTGATTAAAAGAGATTACAGACGTCTTCTTTAATTGATATGTAAGTATTTTATCCCCATTTAATGTTTAATGGATATGAAATACTTACATTTAGAAAACCCTAGGCTCTAATGAAATACTTACACCTAATATATTAGTGTTAAATTGATTCTAGACTCATCCATTCTGAAGCTTACAAGCAATCTTTCTCAAGATTAGAGCATGAATTAACAACCTTTCCCAAGGTTAAACTGCCTTTATAAACAAAATCAGAATTCCATAACGGGAGAGAAAACTTTTTTCAAGGTTAAAATCATTTTACAAGGCTAAGGATGAATTAAAGGAATTAAAATCGCACCAAAGGGTTTCTAAAAACCGAAAGCCCACCAATTCAAGAGGCTGATTACATGGTTTAATCAAACAGGATAAATCCCACCCTATCAGACTCAGTAATAAGAGTCTGACGGTTGCAAACCTAGTTAGCTTTTTTGGGTTTTAAACGCGTTTTAAACATGTACCGTGTTTTGAACAAAAAACGCATTTAAAATGCAAAAAAAAATGTTGATTCGTTTAAAAAGGAAAAAAAAACTTACTTCCCATGTAAAACGTATTTTCCCGTATTTTACAAGAAATAGAAACATGAATTGATCAATTGAATGAACACATTAAATGCATAGGAGATCAACAATAGTTTAAAAGCAAAAAAGAAAAGCCCCTCCTTGCGGCCCCGTGTTTTTGTATTGTTATAATACAATTATTAAATACTAAAATTAATTACATAGTGGCTAAAGCTATCATCCCATATTTTACAAAAAATTAAAACATGAATTGATCTATTGAATGAACACATTAAATGCATAGTAGATCAACAATAGTTTAAGAGCAAAAAAAGAAAAGCTCCTCCCTGTGACCCCATATTTTTGTATTGTTATAATATAATTATTAAATACTAAAATTAATTGCGGGCATGGCGGCTAAAGCTAAACATCCTAAAAGACTAAAACTTAAAATACTATTAGATTTCTTATTTTTTTCGAACAAGCATATCAAAATTAAAGTTTTCTAAACCTGACAATTTTCTAGTATTAACTTTTACACATAAATAATAATAAGTTCGTGTAGCAATCACACAACTTTTCTCATATGTCATCCCTCATCTTGATGAAAATGATGAGTTTAAATTGAGTGTTATTTGATGATCATATAAAGATAATGATTGTAACTTAGTCTCATTCTATTGTTATTATGTCTTATTTTTTGAAATAAGTTTGCAAAATTATGTCTTGAACTTGATAACTATTTTTATTTTTGTCATAAACTTATGCAATTGCAAATTATTCTGTCATGTAGTAATGAGATTTGCTACTTGAATATGTGTACACTTTTATTTCTTTGACTATATATGTTATTTTGTGAAGTATACAATTTAAATGTTCAAAATAATATCCCGTATATTTTTTCGAATTTTTATAACAGATATTGTAATATACATGTATATGTATTTACACGTTTTTTAAAAGTCAACGTTTTTTTCAACGAAATTTTGACCGTTATTTCATTAATGTTATCGAATAAAACTCGTTTAATTCACATAGCGTATTTAACTAACTAGGGTTGCAAATTGTTAAAAGTTTCCCTAGTACGGGAGAGACGACCTTAGTGGGAGAATCCGAGGCAGAAAAGCATGTTGTGACTTGATGCTACCTAAGAACTTCCTAATAAGCCTTTCCTTGTAACCACCATGAATCTTGCCTCTTCATCTGAAGGATTACTGATATTGGCCTCCATATTAGCTTCCTGTTTTTCTTTCTGCTTAACCACAAAATTCACCCTTTTTATGATATCTGGAAGAGCTTCCTTCCATGACTGGATATCTTCCCTCTGTTTAGGATTACCACCATCAGATGAATAATCTTTGCCTGCAATTTCAGGGTCAAATTCCAGCTCTTGGTGAAGCACTTGAAGTTGAGAATCATCCACTGAAGATCCCACCTTTCTGTTGTTGGTAAGAGAGATTCCAGAAAGAGCATTATCCACCGAATTATTTTCATTGTCTAACAAATTGTCATTATGTGTACCAGGCTCTGGTTTTGGGTCATAATACACTTCCTCAGTGTCTTTATTATCCTGGATGTCCATTAGTACTGGGCCAGAATCATCTTTAAGGATGGAAGCAGAAGGCTGATGGATATCAAGATCTCTCGGCTTAGATGTAGAAGGAAATGAATCCTTCATAATACCTTTGCCTGATTCCCCATTTGTAATCTGTAATGTTTGTTTAGCAACCCATTTATCCTTTGTAACCCCTGCAGGTTGATTTTCTTTACCTTGATCTCCTATAGTAATCTGAGTTGTGGTCTGAGGTTGAGGGATAGCCTGATTCATATTTCTCTTGGGGCATTTTGGAGCAGAATATCCCAAATGTAGAGCATGATTTGCAATATTCAGGCTTGTCTTCCTAAATTACATGTTGGCAAAAGCGTGTGGAACCACATTTAAGCCATATTTGTTGCGGTATTTCTTGAGTCAAAGTCTAATTCAACACACGCACATACGTGCAATTAAAGGACGAGATAGGTTGGATGTAGCAGAATCTATCTTTAAGGGCTTGCCTATTAAACCTGCTATATCAAACAACGCCCTTTTCTCCCGGAGATGAATGACATTCCCTCAAAAGCAATCGAAACGGGAACCACCGGAGACTCCACATTAGATCGAAAATCCGAAGTCCACTTAGTTACATGCATCATACTACCTCGAATTAGGCTTGGACTCGGGTCGGGCCACCCGGCCCGTGGACCGGCCCGGCCCGCTACTGTGCAGGACCGGGACCGGCCCGGTTCTCGGGTCCGGGTCGGGCCTAGGCCCGGGGGTAGGGCGGGTCCGGGCTCGGGTCTGAATTTTGGTGAACCGGCCCGGCCGGGTCGGGCCCGGGCCCGGGCCAAATTGATTTTTTTTTTATTTTTTTTTCATTTTTGGGCTTCCACCCGGGTTGGGCTTGATGGGTAGGACCGTAGGATGGGTTTGGGGGGGTTTGGGAGGAGGGAGGGGGGGGGGGTTAGGAAAGCAAAAAAAAAAAAAAAAAATTCCAACCCGGAGGCCCGGACCGGACCCGGTGGCTACCCGGGCCGGGCCCGGGTCCACCATTCTTGAACCGCCGGCCCGGCCGGGCCTAGGCCCGACCCGGACCCGGCCCGGACCCGAGTCCACCCCTACCTCGAATAAACCAAGTTTCTCTATTCCAACAATGCAAAAAAATCCTCATCCAATTCAAATCGAATTAAAATATGTTTAGGATCAAGCAAACCTAGATGGAACACTCCACTAAATCCGATTACCTCAAAAGATTTGTGGATAATCAACATACTAGGTCTGCCTTTGAAAAAATTGCCAACTAGGGATCGTTGATGGTTGGTAAACCTTTAAACTTGAATCTTTTCATCCAGAAAATTGATGACTCGTAAACCTTTAAATCTCAACGGATTCTTCACAGATAGGGAAGGACCAGAGCGATCAACAAGCACCTCAGCAAATGACTTCTTTTTCCAAACATTTTTGTCCGATGGGATGGGCGACGACACCACCGCCGAAGGAATGGAATCAATCATCTTACAAAATCACCAGAGCTCACAAAATCACCTCATATTTTTAAACATTATTTATGGCAAAGGTTATATGTTTAACATGAACGATTTGATAAAAATGTAAATTATGTATGAAAATATGTAAGAATAGTACTTCTTTTGTCCCATTTTATGTGTCTCATTTGGTTTTGGCACAATTTTTAATAAAGTGATTGAAAAAGTAAAAATTGTGGTTGGGATTTGAGTATAACAACCCGCACGGGTAACTCAGTTGGTCGAGTGGTGGAAAAATTGGATCAAGTGACCAAGGTTCGAAACCCGCAGCGGTCATGTGGAGGTTACAGAACCTGAAATAAGGTTGAACATCTGGTGCGCACATGTATAAGGCCTACCGCCGCTTTGCTGACTGAGTCACTGTGATTAACATCCTCACCATCCTGTCAGATCAGAGTGAGGGGGGCCTTGGGGTTGGGCATTCAACCTTTTGGACCAAGGGATTTGAATATAACAAAGTGAAATGTTATGAACCACATATTTCTTTCCAAAAGGGGAAATGTGACACTTACTTTGGGACAATCCAAAACGAAAAGTAGGACATGTAAAATGGGACGGAGGAAGTATATTTTATTATTTTATACGATAGTACTCCCTCCTCATTGGACTTTGAAAACTTTCCTTTTTGGTTGTCCCAAAAAACTTTGTCACTTTCCTATTAAAACAATTAATTTGTGGTTATGCACACTTTTCTCTCCTCCGCACAAATTTCAACCACACAATTATTACTCCCTCCGTTCCCAAAAATACTTCCCACTTTCCTTTTTGGGTTGTTCCCAAAAATACTTCCCACTTTCCCCTTTTGGACAATTTGTGTGGTTCACATTCATTTTACCTTTTTCTTACACAACCACAACCATACATTTTCACTTTATTCCACTTTCTTAATAAGCGTGCCAAGTCAAACCGGGAAGAATTTTTAGGAACGGAGGGAGTACTATTCTTATTTCTCACTTGGCAAAGTCCACCAGGACAGAAGTAGTATAAGTGTATAACTTATGAAACAGAAAGAACTTTTTTAGCTTTAAAATATTAACCACATGAACTTAAAAACATAAGGTAGACCAAACCTTAAACAAAGATTAGAGACTTGTCAAATACAAATACAATTATTATTACTAGATCAATAAAAATGAGAATTGATAAAAAGGAAGAAAAGCTTAGATTCATTCGTAACTTAAATTAGAGAGGGAGGAGGTGAAGAAGAAAATTGAAAAAGAAAACAGAAGAAATCGGAAATATAGATGTGGAAGAACATGCAGGGGTGTAAAATTTGCGCATGACCTACTATGGAAGAAAACAAATTTTTATGACATACAGATACAGAGAGTATAAATTGAAGTTATATTATGACTGCGCACTCAGAACAACAAAAGGCAAGAGAGATTTTTATACTTGAGCGGTGCCCTCAGTGAACTTGGGATCCTCACATCGGTACCTGCCATCAGGCCCTATTCCGAAGCCCCTTGGATCTGCAAATACATTTTCAAGAAGCTGGCTACGAGCAGGCACAGGGCTTTTATCAGCAAACTCGACAGCCTCTTCAACCTCCTCTTCTATTTTTCTTTCAATACCCTTCAATTCTGCTTCGGTTGCAAGATTGTTATCAAACAAGTAATTCTTCAATGCAGTGATGGGATCACGTGATGCATACTGACTCTTCTCATCTGCACCATAACTAGTCAACTAAGCTCCCCCAATCATCATCATCGATATTAAAAACTGCACTCTTATAATGCATTGGGTGGGAATAGGAAATAACAACAAAGTGATGTGTTCAGATTTTTTTACAATTTTAATGAATTGAAACGCTTGAAGGAAAAAGAGGGGCTAAAAAACAAAAGCAGTTTCAAGCACTAGTTCAGTCTTGCGGAACTAGAACCCATGAAAAGGTCTGCTTTTGCAGCTTATAATCATGGTAGTTAAACTTGACATCCTACGTAGGATCAGAAGTTCATTTAAGGATCGTGACTCGGATCATAAGATCCTACAAAATCTACATACAATGTAAATATATATATATATATATATATATATATATATATATGCATATCTAAAATAGAAAAGTAAACAATATTAATTATGTATGTATATCTAAAGAGAGCTAGTTTATTTTACTAATTTATACGGAGTAATATTTATAACATATGTAAACAATTAAGTAATGAATAAGTAATAAACTCTTTATATGTATAACAAACAGAATAACAAAGCTAAGTTATTTTAATTATTTATAATAGGGAAAATGGAAACTAATAATCCAACCTTTTAGCGGTCTTCTTACAATAGTCCCACCTTTTGATTATTCATGAATAATCCAACCTTTGCACCTCATCTTCATTCACTGGTCCCTGGCCAATTTATGACCTGTTATTCCAAGTTATTTTCTTATCTTTGTAAAACATTATACCATAATTCCCACCTTATGATCACATAATGTTTTGCAAAGATAAGAAAATAACTTGGATAAACAGGTCATAAATCGGTCAGGGACCGGTGAATGAAGACGGGGTGCAAAGGTTGGATTATTCATGAATAATCAAAATGTGGGACTATTGTAAGAAGACCGCTAAAAGGTTGGATTATTAGTTTCCATTTTCCCTTTATAATATAAGTAAACAATTATGTCATCAATTACACAAATTATGTAATAAAATTTTTATACTTAAAACACATAACAGACACGTAGTAATGTGTGTATAACAGATACCACTCAATAACGTGTCTATTTCTAATCTAATAAAATAATAAATGATGAGGAGTGATACATAAAAAATAAAGAAATAACATAATATACTCCGTAATACACTACTACGCATAACATACGGAGTACCAGTAAAAAACGAGTACCGGCTTCAGTACTACGAAGAACAGAGTGCGGTCAGTGCGCAGAGATGGAGGTCAACCTTCGACGTAAAGATGGAGGGCGACTGATGAGTCAAACCTGAGTATGGAGGTGGCCTTACACTCATCGCATGGATTCAAAGGTGATTCAGCCCTAACTTTGAAGCGACACGCCTTGGCTGCTAAAGAGTCGCCGATCCTATGCGCTTCTACGATTTTCCGATTTTACTCGGCGATTCATCCGATCCCATCTTATTTACGATTCTCGTGGGAGAGAGATCGCAGTCTTATACCCAGATCGTTGAATCGTACGATCTTATGAGTAAGATCACGATTTTAACTACCATGCTTATAATCAACTTTTTGAGCAAAAAGTACTAACTATACCAAATGCTCTATTTTAACAAGGATAGCTTTTTATACCAAAATTTCTAGCTTTTACATCTCATACAATCTTTTGTGTTTCATCAATGATACAGATATATCTATGATAGAGCCAGGCATAAGCAATTTCAAGAAGCGTCATGGAAGGGAATCTTACTGTTATTATATTTTTACTGAGTAAGGTCTTAATTTTTACTATTATAAGTATTATCGTTTCTTTTACATGTTGTTATTGTGACTTTGTTATTAACTTTTAGCTTCTTATAAACCTTTGGTTTTATGTTTCTATTATGATAAGGGCCCTTGTAAAAACCATAGAGCCAGAGAAAATACAAAGTCACTTTGCAACAACCTTGATATGTATATATGTTATTCAGTGCAGAGAGAGAGACAAGAAGCCCATGAATATACTAGAGTTATGTTATATACAACTAAGAGTGTTCCTTAATAACAACTTTTTGGAAAAGTTCATTCTTGTGTGTCATAACCTATGTTGCACTGATACTATTACGTGGGTATGTCAATATGCGGGTATCGATATGGCGATATAACAAGCTTGAAAATATAGGCTAAGGATACAACGTATATTTAGAAATAATAAAAATATAGGAGTTATTGAGAAAAAAATATAAAAATTAATTTTAAAAGTTCAAAAATAAAATAACAGTACTGAAACTACATAACAACCACAAGTTTATACTTGAAATTTAAATTAAAGTACTCATACTTCAAGGCATTCTTTTTAAAAGAAATTAACTTAAATAGGAGTAAACACATTTTGGAATTCGAAAATAGAAGCACTATAAGTTTATTCCTTAAAGAGTAATTCTGTAATTAACTAATTACCATCATGCATTGAAAATAGTGCCAAAATAAAAGATGAACAATTTTTGGTATTCCTATATCTTCTCTGGCGTGTGAATATACTGTGAATAGGAATCGGAAAAAGTTTAGCTTGAATACACATACCGGTCTAGAGATAACGTTTTCCGAAGTTTTTTGTTTTTCTATGAATGGGTTATGGGTCATGTACTTTCATAAAATTATGGATACAGAAATGATAGATATAGTACGTGGATGTGAGAGTATCATTATAAGATATATTATTGCATACCATATACAGCGTTGTTGGCAAAGAAGGGGTGAATTGTAGGTCATGACAAGAATAAATCACAAGATCGGGCACCGGTTAATTCCACATTAGCATAGATCTAAAATACTCTCTTTCGTTATTTATCTCTTTTGTTCTTGTAGATATGGGATGAGAGGACACCTATGTTGCACGAAAACACGAAAATCACGAGGAAACAAGAAACGGGAAACGAGGAACTTTTGATAAAAAAAAGCTTGTTTCAAGAGTTTCCCAAGAGTTTCCGAAACGAAAACGTACACTTTCCCGAGAGTTTCCGTGCTACATGGGAGGACACTCATAAGACATAATTAAAAACACATGAATACAACACATAGTAGCAACAATAAAAACTTAATACTTGGTGACCTAGCAAACTAACAAAATGAGTAATAGATAGGAAAGAGAGAGTGAGAGGGATAAAGCATTTAGTAGTAAAATTTAAAGGAAAAATTGACAAGAATAATCTCACCTTTCACTGATTTTTTCATAATAATCCTACCTTTACATAATCCCAAAATAATCCCACCTTTGCATCCTATCTTCTTTCATTGGACCCTGACCAAGTTTTTTACCTTTCTTTGAAAATCTTATATAAATAATCTCACATTTATAAAGATATAATAGAAAAGTGAGAGGTATGATTATTTATATGATTTTAAAAAAAAAGTAAAAAACATGGTCAGGGTCCAATGAAAGAAGATGTGGTGCAAAGGTGGGATTATTATGGGATTATCTAAAGGTGGGATTATTATGAGAAGATCAGCGAAAGGTGGGATTATTTCTGTCAATTTTTTCAAATTTAAAAGCATAATATCTTACCAGGGTCACGCAGCTCATCGGGGTCAGCCAAAGAGTGCCCCCTGAACCGGTATGTGTCACACTCCACCAAAGTAGGACCTTCCCCTCTCCTAGCTCTGCCAATAGCCTCCTCAGCCACCTCCCTCACCTTTAACACGTCCATACCATCAACGTGAACCCCCGGCATGCCAAACGCCGGTCCCTTTTTCCAAATCTCTGGGTCAGAAGTAGCCCTCAAATGGGACATACCAATGGCCCACAGATTATTCTCAACAACAAAGATTATAGGCAGTTTCCACAATGCAGCCATGTTCAAACACTCATAGAACTGGCCATTGTTGCAAGTCCCGTCACCGAAAAAGGCAAGAGTAACCTGATCACAGCCCTCGTCCTTGTAAACCTCCCTCTTATACTTTGAAGAAAAGGCAGCCCCTGTGGCAACCGGAATGCCCTCACCAATGAAAGCAAACCCGCCAAGAAGGTTATGCTCTTTGGAGAACATGTGCATGGACCCACCCTGACCTCTGCAACAGCCGGTGGTCTTGCCAAAGAGTTCACTCATCACTTCACGGGCAGGAACACCCTTGCTCAATGCATGGACATGATCACGGTACGTGCTTACCACAAAGTCTTCTTTCTTCAAGAGCTTTATGAATCCAGTGGAAACTGCTTCCTGTCCATTATACAAGTGCACAAAACCAAACATTTTCCCCCTATAGTACATCTGGGCACACATGTCCTCAAATGCCCTCCCTAGAACCATATCCTCAAACAACACCAATCCTTCTTGCTTGGTAATTGACTACAAACGCGAGTGAGGAAACAATAAATTTTCTATTACTTTACCCTTTATGCTGGCTAGAAAATAACCATTCAGTACTTACAGTAGTAGAAAGTTCAGATAAAGCATAAGAAAATAGTTAACATGAAACTTTAATTTAAAAGCCCCATAAGAATTACTCGGAAGATAAATAAAGAAACATCCAATTAAATAAGCGGCTGATACAGTAAACTTTCTTCTTTTTGTATACGCTCAAGAAAGTAGAAATTTAATGGACACACCAAAAAAAGTTTCTTCTTCAAAATTTAATGACAAATAAATACTGCCTGCATAAATTAATCAAAGAATAAGTATAGGAACATCATGCATCTAGAACTGAAAATAATGGGCGGTGGATAAAAGAATTACCGATTTGGAGGGGGAGGCGGGGGAGTTGAGGTTGGTTTCCTTGACTACATCGGAGATGGCTAGGACACGGGTGGAAGATGAGAAGCGAAGCCGAGGAGAAGCGAAGAGCTGGTTGTCCAATGGAAGCTTGATGGAAGATGAAGGTCCGAAAAAAGAGGACGCGGGCTTAAAGGGATCTGCAAAGAGCGGTTTGTCAGCAGATCTAGTGAAGGAGTTGAGGGGCTGCACGAATTTGGGTAATGATAAAGAGGAGGCCATCCTTCTTCTTATTCTATTGCGCCCTGGGCGATGGAAAAAGAGACGGACGCTTTACAGAAAACCAAGCAATATTGGAGGTGTCCGGCGGTGGAGAGAACGGAGAAAGGGTACGCAGATTGAATAGAGAAACTGAGGAAAGGCAAAAATAATACGTACTCCTTATAAGGAGGAGGCTCCAGGGAAGAGTTGACAGCAGGACGGAGAAAACGAAGAAAGAGGGAGGGGGAGTTATCAGTGTACGGGTGGGGAGTTGCTGTGTCAAATTCCCCTTTTTACTAACTTGTGTTTACGGAGTAGTTGATTTTTAATATTTTTTTTATCTACTCATTTCATATTTTTACAGAGTAGAACTCAAACATCACGGGTTATTGCACAGATAACAAATGAAATTAATTTATTTTTGTTTTTTCCCAAAAAAATACTCCCTCCGTCCCATAATTAACTTCGGTTTTGACTGGGCACGGGGATTAAGATAGTGAGATTTGTGTGGTGTAGAGTTGTGCAGAGGAGAGAGAAATGTGTAAGAATGGTTGCGAACCACATATTCTTTATCAAAAAGGAAAAGAGTAGATAAATTTGGGACGGACCGAAAAGGAAAGAATGATGATAATTTCGGGACAGAGGGAGTAAAAAACAAAAAATATTTTTCAAATTAGTATTAGGTTAAAAGTTTTTTCCAAAATATTGTCCAAATAAAATTGAGTTAAAGAACCGCCACTTGAATTCACGGCTTATGAAGAAATAACGCAACTCACATAACAAGCTTATTTGGCATTCGTCGGTTAGCGGATGGCGGGCTATGTTAGAGGGTTATCAATAGCGAGTTCGGTCAACGGATTTGACTAGCGAAATAAATTGGCGGGTTATCACAACATGTTTTGGCAATTTAGTTGTTTGGCCATAAAATTAATAGAAAACGTCATTCAAAACATCACCCCAAAACTCTCCTATTGGCAGTGTTTTCATTTCAACGTTTCTGTCCAAAAACGGTGGTGCCGAATAGCTTCTTCACATAATGAAAACGTTAAAAGTGGTCAAAACATCATTTTTGGGTTGAAACACTGCTACCAAACACCCCCAACATGAGGTGTCAAAGCCAAGAATATTTAGTAATGGGTCCGCCTAATTATTATTGTTATTGTTATTATTACTGTTATTATTATTATTATTATTACTACTACTATTATTACTATTATTACTATAAAAAAATCTTCTTTTTTCTTTAAAGTGTTATAACTTTTTTATTTGTACTCCGATTGTTACGAAACATTTTAAAAATTATCTTTTTTGTGGTATAATATTTTTATTTGTACTCCGATTGTTACAAAAAAATATCAAAACTTTTAACCTTCTATTATACTTAATATGACATCAATATTGAATATATAAAAACAAAAAAATAATTTAAAACTTTAAAAACATACTCCATATGTTTTCTAAAAATGCTACTACGTATAACTTTTTTATTTGTACTCAGATTGGTACAAAAAATATATTGAAATTCATAAATTTTTATTACCTTTCATATGACATCAATGTTGCATGTAAAAAATAATTTTTTTATTAACTTGTGCAATTTATAATCTTTTTTTTACCTTGCACGCTATTAATCCCGAGTGATGACTTAGAATAAAACAGCATAAATTCTCGTCCGAGAAATTATATATAAATAAAGTGATGGAGTTTGTTCAATTTTGTTTTAATCTATCTGATGGAGTATATGGCCCGGGAACCCCTCAGTCCACAGACTCCTACTACTCCAATAAAGGCCCAATAGGCCCAGGAAGCATAACAGGCCCAAATCACGGCGCCCAGAGTACCAAGCAGCCCACAATGCGCACCAGGGGTGCCTTCGGCCCCTTGGCCGAAGGCTCTAATTCTCACAGGAGGGTCAAAACAGGAAAACAAAGTTACTAGGAAAAACGGCGAAAATCAGTAGCCCTCGGCAACTAGAACCCTCGGCACTAAGGGGGTCCCCGGCGCTCAGAGCCCTCGGCTAATCACCTACAACCGAGGACACCTTTTCCGACATAATATCCGCTCCACATGCGTATGGATCATTGTACCCAGTACAACGTCCCATCCAACTGCCGCATTAAATGCGGCCACATGCGATTGCCAGCGCCAACCAGTTGAGGTGACCTCTCGGCCAATGGATGCTTGACACGTGTCCCTGTCCGACATTTATTGCTACTATAAATAGCACCCCATTTCCCCATTTGTAACCAAGACATAACACGCTGAAAACGCTGAATACATTTCTAATATACTCTCTCTCTCTCTACTTACTTGCTCTGACTTCTCTCTAGTTATTCCTCGTAATAACCCCTCGGATAAGCTACCCCCGGGTACACTATCCATCATTTGGTGCTCTCGTTGAGAGGGTCGAACAATCAAGTAAGAAACCCTCCCCCTCGACCAAACACAAAACACCCAGCTAAAATGGTGAGAACAACTCGTGCCAACTCCAAGAATGTAGAGGACAGGAACCTGGCCCTCGGCGAGGTCGACGTCTCCGAAGCCTCTAACAGGGCTCCCGGGGGTGGCGTCATCGCCGGGTTGGACCAGACGGCTGTCGACCTACGCCAGCAGATTCAACAAAATGCCCCTGATGCCCGCCTCGGCATCGAGGCCAAGAAAAAGGACCGGAGCGAGAATCAAATTAGCCATCCGGTCATCACAATCGACGTGCAATCGGCGCTCTCCGCCTTCATCCAGACGCTCACCCAGAACCCGGGTGCCTTCGGCAGTTTGGTTCCCCACCAACCTCAGGCCGGGGAGAATATTATGCCTCCCCCTCATCCACGACCCCTCGGTAACCCAGTCCCCCGGATGGGGAACTCCGAGGGGGTCGTGGCCCAAGATACGGCCTCCCAGGAAGTCCAGTCCCGGGACCGCCACAACGTGAACAAAGAACAGCTCCGGACCTCCGCCCTCGAGAGACTCGGAGGGGCGCAAGACCGTCGAGGGGTCCAAGACCGCCTCGGGGGGAAGGCGTTCCAGAGGCCTCAGGAAAGTGGCGGGTCCGTCTCCAGGGCCAATGAAAGGCGTCCCCCTCAGGACAAAGGCAAAGCACCTCTCCATGCCGACGACGCACGCCACCAAATCAACCAGGCCCACTCGGCCCGGGTCCATTCGCAGGGGGCGGAAGCCCTCCCGAAGGACCCCCGGGACGAGATCATTGCGGCCCTCCAGAGCCGGCTTGACGAGATAGAGGCCACCAAAGCACACACCGCCACTTCTGCCCCTCATACAGACCTCAAGTATGAGGCGATGTTGGCCAAGATGGAGGAAATGCAGAAGAAGATAGCCGAGGGCTCCGGGGAACCCACCATACAGCTCCGGACCCGGACGCCATTCACTCTAAGGGTATTGGTGGCCCGGATCCCGGAAAAATACCGAGGGCAGCTCATCAAGCCCTACGACGGAAAGACTGATCCCCAAGAGCACTACAGCAGGTATCAAAACAGTATGATGATGGTGGGGGCATCGGATGAATATTTGTGCCGCTGGTTCCTCTCCACATTAGAGGGGCCGGCTTACGAATGGTTCAATCGATTGCCCGAGGGCTGCATTGACTCATGGCAAGAACTCGCCCAGCGATTCTTGACGCAATTTGCGGGAAGGCGCCGCACAAGAAAACACTTCTCCCACTTGCTAACAGTGAGGCAGAAGAAGGAGGAGACCCTTCGGGACTTCCTGGAGCGCCGGAGGACGGAGGCTGATAAAGTTGATGGCGCTGACGACGGGACCCTCCTGGCCCTCCTACAAACAGTACTCCGCCCCGGGAACTTCTCAAGGAGCCTCATCATCGAACCTCCCCGCGATTATATAAGGGCCCTACAGCGGGGGGACCGGTACGCCGAAGCTGAGGAGGTGGAGAAATGCCACCACATCCCGAATCAGCAGCGCCCTCGGCCAGACGACAAAGGTAACCGAGGGGCGGGGGCTCCCCGCAATCATCCTAAGGATTCTGCCCCCTCCGGTGATCGCCCCCGGCATGGCCAAGCCAAGCTCGGGGGAGGCTACAAGGGGAACCCGAGGGCTTGGGTATAGCCTGTCCTCCTGGAGCACCCTCGGACACCTTTGACGCATCCCGTCAGCGTCATTCTTGATTTTGCTGAGGAGAGGGGCCTAGTAGAGCGAGATTCACGCGCGCGCCCGGAAGTATTCGCCATCAATCCAAACTACCCCTACTATCATTTCCACCGACACCAGGAGCACAGGACCGATGACTGCCATCAGCTGAAGACGGCCATCGAAAGATTGATACAAGCGGGCGATCTGTCCCAGTTTATCCAGGGCCCTCAGCAACAGGGCCCCCCTCACCAAGGGCCAACCTGAGGGCAGACTGCGAGAACAAATGCATGGGTCAACCCCAACACCATCCCCCTCGGCAAGAAGAGGGAGATTGGGAACCTGGAAGAAGAGGAGGAGGAGTACCCCCGGTACCAAGAAAAGAAGCGCCACATCCTCATGATCACCGGGGGCAATACCGGGGGTGATTCTACGAGTCAACGAAAGAAGTGGGCTCAATCACTTTACGTGGGGGAAGTCACTCATATGCCCCCAGTCAAGCGGCTGAGGGAGGAACCCATTATCTTCACCAACGCTGATCTCCCCCCGGTGTCCTCCCCACACAGGGATGCCCTCGTCATCCGCACAGAGATCAATGACACTATTATTCACAAAACTTACATTGACACGGGCAGCTCCGTCAATGTGATGTACCTCAGCACCTTCAGAGAGCTGCATCTGGAGAGGGGGTCCCTTCGTCCCATCAAGACCCCTCTTGCCGGATTCACCGGCGACACCATTGATTCCGAGGGGGTTATAACCCTCCCGATACTATTCGGCGACGGGCTCCATAGGGCGAAGCTCGACATGGAGTTCGTCGTCGTCAACATCGACTGCGCCCACAACATCATCCTCGGCCGGCCAGCCCTCGAGGACCTCGAAGCCGTCATCTCCATGAGGCACCTCTGCCTCAAGTTCCCAGCCGAGGGGGGAATCGGTTACTCAAGGGGGGAACCAAAAGCTTGCCCGCGCTTGCTACCTTCAAGTGACAAAGAAGGTTAGCAAGGCGGAGTTCCGCGTTGACACCATCACCAGAGTTGTAGAAGCGGAGGACAGGAGGCCGAGGGCTGAACCAGCCGAGGAGGTAGAGGACTTCGCGCTCGATCCGGCCAAGCCGGAGAGAGTCGTGAAGATTGGAGCCAAGCTCCCCGAAGACCTGAAGACCCGCATCATCAGCGCCCTCCGCGCCTACTCCATTGTTTTTGCATGGGGGGCGGAGGACATGTCGGGGATCAGCCGAAGGGTCATCACCCA